GTGCATCTAAGAAATCTAAGATTACGTATTGTTGTCATTGAGCCACACAAAATTATTGCATTAAAACAAATCTGCAAAATCAATATGAGTCTATTTTCAGAAGTAAAATCTAAAATGCTTTTTTCTTAAGTATTTCTTTGGGTGAGGCAGGCTCAAATACAGCCTTGTTAGCAAGGCCATCCTGTACATGGTAGTGCAATGATGAATGGAATATATATTTCCTTCTTAGCCATTAGATTGGGATTGGGGATCTTATTGCTTCTATAATTACCGCAAATCTTTTTCCACAGTTTTCATTTCCACAGCATCCACAACAATCATTATTCTTAAGACCGAAAAAGACCAAAGCAGGAAACACCATCTGGATAAAACAGAAAATCACAATGAGGCCGTAATCTTTTCTATTTAATTCCATCTAATATGGATGCTGCAATATCATTTCTTCTTTCTTGCTGAAATATCATCATTAAAACCAGCAGGTTTACAATTGTGCATGCAACAGCATCATTCTAGTCCAGTGATGCTATCATCCTAAGCATATTGAACTGGAAAAAGCCACTGTATGCGGTAGGAGTCACTTTCAAGTTTAACTGTTAGCCTCTGACTGGCAATATCCCAACACAAAAAGAAAAACCAAATAGAAAAAAGAGGAAAGGTAACTGGTAATACATTTTACAGAAACCTGTTTACATTTATTTCTAATCTGCATTGGTTACTGCTGTAACAAAACAATGCTGGGCTAATAAAGTGTTGGTCTGATCTAACAAAATGATATTTATCTGTTTATTCACCAAAGACATCTAGATATATATATTTTTACCGCATCATCAGATCAGTATCAGTTTTCTTAATAACAGATTTAATTCATATTCAATTTATATTTTTAATTTCAATCCTGCTTATTCAGCAGTTAATAATTTAATTCCAATGATAGATTGCAACAAAGTTCTATGTATCAGTAGATGAATATCTATAAAGCCTGTAAACTCTAGATGATAAAAAGAAAAAGAACAGGATACTTGACAAACTCACCAGTACACCAGAACCCAAAATTCCTCCAAAGTACCAAACTTCATTTGAAATATGGTCTTTAATTTCAATTGTTCCTCCAGGAAAAAATAACAGAATATTGGCGAGAACGCATAGTATACTTAAAGGAATGAGAATAACTCCAAGACACTTGGCACACCCTCCACAACACATATTTCAAAATTGTACTGCAAATTCCACTAAAAAGGTAGACCTTTCCTTGGATCTTGATGTAATTTTAGCAGAAGTTTCTTATAGTCTTCTTATAGTCTTATGGCCTCAATCCACTAGTGTTTTCGATCCCACTTTCTTTCATAGAGTTCAGTCTGCCAGCAGCACAGAGCTCTGACAATTTATAAGCCCAACATTGTCATGATCTCATATTTCTGCATCTCTCCCGCCCTAATGAGATTATGTTCAGAACAGCCTCCGAATTTGTCATGACAACCAAAGGCTCTGTTAATATTCTACTATCCACCCCAAGAAAGTCAGAGTTGGAAGATTATTGTAACATCTCTTCCCATTGATAGTAGAAGATTTTGGCCGGTGAACTTTCTCTCACATTAGATTGAACAAAAGGAAAATATTTCAGATTCTTACCCAAAATACAAATAAAAATGAATGGTTACTTCATGTACCATTACATTACTCACTAATTTTAATGGGTGGCATCCTAATAATCTACTGGATCTTTGAAAGAAAAAACAAGATAAAAGCTGTAAAAGCAAAGAATGATAGGCAGATTACACCCGGCAATTGAGTAAAAGCAGATCAAAGGTTTGTTAGGTACTTTTTCTTACATGGTTCAATAGAATTTTTATATTGAAAAAGAAGGCTAAGAATGTCCTTTCATTTCTTAAGCTCTATTTCTAAAACGTAGGACTACAACTCAGTGGAAATTTCATCCTACGTAAATACAACTTGGACTCTTTGGTTTAGAATCATCTATCAAATGTTTGTGTTGTATGTAATTTATTCAAGAAACCATAATTAGGCCAACCTTGAGTGAACAGAATATATGCATTTGTCAGACCTGCCCCAGTCTGATCCCTTAGGGAAGGAAAACTCTCAATTCCATTTGATTGAAGCAAAAGGTACTTTTACTAAGAAATGCTGATTGCATAAAGCCAGAAGGAATCTAAAGTTCCCATGCAACAATACAAAACTATGTCACTTGGTTCCCCATCCTTCCCCCTCCATGACCAGTCCATTTTTAGCCAATCCAACATCACTGAGAAGTTTTGGGAAATGCTGATGTATTTAGGCTGATGAAATTCCACTCTCAGGGCAAATGGCCTTGAACGTTCCAGGCACGAATTGAATTCCAAAATGCTCTGCTCTTCTTTGTTTCCCCCCTCCCAAATTCCCATCAGACACATACAACTTTCTTGCCCATTTGTTCCTCCTCCCTTCCCCAGTGCTTTGATGGCAGGATACCAGCGAGGCACCAAGCCAAAGATGATGGACCTGACAGTATTTCTACTTATTAATATCAAAGGATTCACTTTAGGTTGGGATACTACATGGTGTTTTTTTTAAATTAATCTATTGAAAGATTAATGTATTTTCATATTACCAAAATTTCAGGGGATTTAGGGAGAATTGACCTACATCTTAAGAAACACCACCTGATTTATGCTATCACCAGTTATCTGTTGGAAAACAATTATAATGTTCTTTTCCCCAATTTCATCAGTTTTTCAACCTTCCACTTTCACCTCTGTTTGTAAAGAATGGAACATTATCAGGAAGAAAATATTTCTCATTTTTTTAGTTTGGAAGGAGCAAAGCTAAATTGCATTTTACTTTAAATATAAAATGTGATTGATGGATGAATTGATTTACTTATATTTACTCATATTTACAGAAGACACAATGAGCATGTCAACATGATGCAGTCATTCAATTATTTATTCATTGATTAAACGACATAGCAAAACAAAGTCAGTCCTGATTTGCATTGTGGTAGCAATGGTTAGGTAGTATCTTGGCTATTGTTGAAGTGGTTGATCAGCTGCTATTCAGAGCTTTTTTCTTTCTCCCAATGTAAAAATAGGTGTTGGACCAATTGGGATTAAAGAAGGGGGTGGGAGAAAGATGTTGTTCCAGCTATGCCCCCTCTCTTAATGTCATTGAAGAGGTGTGGGGCAGGAGTCCCCAAACTTTTTGACATCAGGAACTGGTTTTGTGGAAGACAATTTTTCCATGGACTGGGAGGGTAGGAGGAGCACAACCTAGATCCTCACACATGCAGTTTATAGTAGGCTTCGTGCTCCTAGGAGAATCTAATGCCTGATGATCTGAGGTGAAGCTGAGGTGATGATGCTAGCACTGGAGAGTGGCTGCAAATACAGGTGAAGCTTCTCTTGCTCAGCTGCTACTCACCTCCAGCTGTGCAGCCCAGTTCCTAACAGCCTGTGGACCCATACTGGTCCATAGTCAGGGGTTGGGGACCACTGGTGTTAGGAGGAAATGGGAATAGAAGAGATGCTGGACTTAGCAGACTTATTGATCTCCTGACACTGGGTTCAGAGATCAGAAGGAAAAGCTAATTTCATGTTAATCTTCCCTCCTGGAAGCTGAAGGGAATAAACTTATGATGAATCATGCATCGAACTGTCATGGAGGTACATCTTAATCACAATGGAACCTACTGTGTGGGTTTGTATGCCACACTTGTTTAATACCCATAATAACCACAGAATATCAAATGTACTGAGTCACTGATATTAGTGGACTTAAGTTTCACTGATTTCGTCAGATCTCTTTTAAGAATGGCTAAATTTTAATATTCCTCATTTTTTTCTTGCTTTTATATTATGCATTTCCGTGAATTAATTCCTCTGGGCACATTACAGGTGAATGTGTACTTGAAATGCAGAAATGTTATCTCTCAAAAAACAACTAAATGGCCAATGAAAACTAGTATTTTTTTAAAATTAAGCTATCAAGTTTTCGTTCTACTTGCATTTTTTGTCTATATAATTATTTCAATGGTGCAAAACTAAATCTGAAATGATTCCATTTTCATCTGTATTCTATATTTTGAGTGTATTTAGTATATTACATTTACTTCCTTACTGTTGAGCTAAATAGTATATTAACTTACAAATGAGTGTCTAGGTTAGAGATCCTATACTCAGGCTTCACCCAATCAGTAGTGAAACTAGAAGCTTTGCAAATGGAGATTCAAGGACAAATAGTAAACACTATTGGAACTGTCAATGAACAATTTAATAATTAATCTAACAATTACTAAGTATAAAATAAAAGCTATATTTATAGGAAAAGAAGATTTATTCTTGCCTCTCTTTCTTTCACCCATAAAGATGTTCCTGCTTTGGGGCCAGAAGAGCAATTGTTTAACCTATCTCTTATTAGTGTGTTGTGGGTCGCCGGCAGCTTGTGCAGATGGCAGCAGAATCAGACAGTGGGAAGAACAGGGACCAGTCCCAGAGTCTGGGGTGGACTCAGACAAGGGTTCTGCATCCGATACAGAGATGGGGCCAGGACCATCTGGGAGTTATGTGCTGACTCCGGAGCCTCCAGAATCTGCCAGCAGTGAGGCAGAAGAACAAGGGTAGCCTGTTCCCAGTGTGCGTGTGCGCAGAGCTGCCAGAAGGCAACAATAACTAAGACAAAAGGGGCGACTCAGGAGTAAGGCTTGGAGCTGATTGCCCCTCCCATAAGGTATAAAGGAAGTGCAAAGGTAGAGAAACCTTTGCAGGAAGCAAAGTCATTCCGTCTGTTCAGATTAAACCTTGAAGCTCTGTGTGGACTTTCTACTTCGTTTGGCTTTTTACAGTTAATTTGGCACTTTAGTTATTGGCAGCAATTCAAAGGAGGTAAAGGTGGGTGCTTATCTCAAGAGACTGTTTGGGACTCATTACAAGCTGGGAATAAACATAATGTCCAGCACTGAAATAAAACAAGAGTTGTTTGAACTAAGCGTGTACTTAATTAAGGTCTCAGAAGCCTTGGTCAGAACATAGAGTGACAGATCATTCTGGTTTCAGGATGCTTGGTTCTAACCTTGCCAGACCCAATCCTGAGACTAACTTTGAATAAACTGTCATGAGCAGACAGGTTAAACTGAATGTTGCTTGCACTTATGAAATATTGGCAAAAATATGCCAGAAATGATTGATTTTGATCTTATCATTACCAGGAAATGCTGAATGGGCCATGGATATGACTGAGGTTGGTAACCTAGCGAACTGCTTATTAGAAGTGTTACACAATAGATGCTATAGGAGGCATCTCAGTGCAAGTTGGTTCCCAAGAACTTCTTTTCTATCTGTTTATTGTACAGCACAAGGTTGGGCTTTTTAAAATAAGTTCATTGATGGAAGCCCCAACCAATCAGTCAATCTCTGCCTTCCTCCCTCTTTTCTTGACCAGGTAAAATTGAGAAGAGTTTTGCCCATTTTCCTTCAAGTCCCAACAATGAGAAGATGGTAAAGCAGTCTGTCCATTCCTTTTTTCAATCCACTCCACTGGCACATACATCAGATAGGTAGATGCCAAACACTAGAAGCTGTCAGAAGAAAGGACTCATTGGAAGACTCTGATATTGGGAAAGATTGAAGGCAAAAGAAGAAGGGGATGGCAGAGGAAGAGATGGTTAGATACAGTGTTATTGATGCAATGAACATGAATTTGGGCAAACTGTGGGAGATAGTGGATAAGGAGCCTGGCATACTATGGTCCATGGGCTTGTGAAGAGTAGGACACAACTTAATGACTAAACAAGACAAGAAACAGTCAAGGAAGAGGAGCAAAAGTGAAAATTATATGTCAGATATCCAAACAGGGAAACCTGTTGGAGCTTTCCTGGCCAAGTGGGAAGTTAAAGTTTAATTAAAGTTTGATTTCTGGTGACCACTTAGCCATAGTCATATAGTTATCTTGGCAACAATGTAGAAATACCTACTTTTCTTCAGAATATTGTTTCAGTATCCTTTTTCAAACATATTATATCTTACCAATGTATCTTCCGAATAGAGACACAAGTATATATGGATCTCGAACATTTTATGTATTTGTGTGTTGTAAGATATATTACAGCTGAACAGGATATTTTTTATTTTTATTTTATACTTGTTTTCCATTAAATCCAAGAACAGAACTTCTGACTTTGGAAAGATTAGTAATTATGTTTATTTTGACAAAGATAGGAATTTGGAGTGACCACTGAAAGTTCATGCCAGCAACCTAGATTAATAAATTAATGATTCATAAATGAGATCATGTTCCATTCCCAGAAGAATAGATGCAGTATTTATTTATTATTTAATTTTTATACTTGCCCAACTCAGTGACTGG